CTGATTGCAAGTATTCTTTTCTGACTTACTCTTCTTACTTTAATAATTACCTTTAGAAATATTTTGTTTTACATTGATTTTTATTGTTTTTAGTTGAGTGACATTCGAAGTAGCTCAAGTACTACATTGTTATTATCCATTTTAATTAAGTTCAACCGCTCAAGTATTACTTTGTAATTATCCAGTTTAATTACTAGTCTTAAACAAGTGAAAAAGTAAATAGTGTACCTTTTACTGCTTGAAGTTGGTTGTTGTTGCTCAGATTTCAGCCTAGTACCTACTAGTACCTCAACGCACCCGGGCAGAGTGGCAGAGGCCAGACCACTGTGTGTTGGGTCTCGAGTTCGGGGTGGGGTGGGTGGCGGTCTGGTCCACGGCGGCGGCGGCACACTGTGCGGCACGGCACGGCGGTCTCGCTTTCGCAGTGCGAGTCGGTTGACCCAGGCCCTGGCAGGCCGGCCCTGCAGACTGATTCCGAGAGTCGTTTGCGTCGCTCTGTCTCTCTCGCACTCATGGGGCGTTCCCTATGGGTGCGAAAGAGACAGACGACTCTCGGAATCAGTCTGCCGGGCGCGGCCCCCTGCTGTATACTTCATTCGCGTCGGAAGTTGCCCGTGGCGGCCGAGTTATGCGTCTGCCGTCTCTCTCGCTCCCCCTCTCTGTCGCTCCGCCGTGTCGCTCGGGGCGCCGCGGGCCGCACAGTGGGCCAGAAGACCGGTGGAGGCGGCAAAAGTTCTAGACGCGTTTTGAGCTCCAGAGTCGCTAAATGAGACTCGAACCGAACGTGTGACCCCACCAATGGAGTCCTCGTTCAGAGAGGAATCCATTGGTGGGGTCACACGTTCGGTTCGAGCCCTGTTTTGCGACTCTAGAGCTCAAAACGCGTCTAGAGTTTTGGCCGCCTCCACCGGTCTTCTGGCCCACTGTGGGCCGTGCTGCCATTGGCTGCTACGCGGTGCCACGGCCATGCCCTCCGCGGCTCCACGGTGGCAGCTGAGATTTCCGCCGCCCTGCCCTGCCGGCCCTGCCCCCTCCACCGCTTATGTTCGCCAGAGGATGTTCCGCCAAAGAGTTCCTTCATTTATCTCCTACTTTATCCCATTTCTCCTTTTATTGTCAACGATTCCATTCGCATTCTTCCGTGTTTTTTTGCCTGTTTTTTCTCCTGGCCGCTCGCTGCCCCCGCCGTTCGGCCCAAGTTGGTCGTAAGGGCGGTGAAGTACGTCCCTTCCCGCCAGCGGACCGAGAGTCGTCGCTCTGTCTCTGTCGCACCCACACGGGACGCCGCGTGAGTGCGAGAGAGACAGACTCTCAGTCTGCAGCGCGGCCCGGCCCTCTACCAGGATGGGGTCGCTTATGGCGTCGGCGCGGCGCGCGGCGTGTCCGAAGAGTGTTCGCATCCGTAACAACACCCCCGGAAAAAGCCGAAGCCCGACTGCAGGCCGAGACGCCGTTCTGCCGCGCTGTCTCTCTCGCGCCCGACGGGACGTCCTGCGAGAGCGAGAGAGACGGAGCAACGATGCACCGCTACCGTATCGGCGAGCTCCGGGAGTCGTCGACGGCGGTCGACGGCACCACTGCACCTTCATCAAAACACTCGTGCCGCCTCACCACTTCTTCCGTGCCCTCTGGAAACTCCACTGGAAGAAGCCACACTCACTCGACTTTCCACTGCAGTGAGTTCGACGTGTCACGCGACTGGTGGAACTTTCTTCCCCTCGAACCGAACGTGTGACCCCACCAATGGATTGCTCTCCGGACGAGGAATCCATTGGTGGGGTCACACGGTCGGTTCGAGTCCTGTTCAGCGACTCTGGAGCTCAAAACGCGTCTGGAGTTTTGGCCGCCGGCGCCGGCCTTCTGGCCCACTGTGCGTCCCGGCCACCCTGGACCGTGACCTAACTTCCGGGGCTCCTCATCAGCCATGAAAATAAGTAGCCGTAAAAACGCCCCCCTGATAGGTCGCCAGCGGGGCAGGCAGCGGCAGGCACGCTGTGGGACGGCACAGGTTGTGCGGGGTCGCTTTAAAATCACCGCCCCCCGCGCCTCGCGACGTAACGGGGCCTTACTGACGCCGGAGAGTCGCTCTGTCTCTGTCGCACTCATGGGGCGTCCCGCCGCGTGCCGCAGGGGTCCGAGAGAGACGGGCCGAGGAAACGACTCTTCGGAGTGGGCCGGCAAACCCTCGGGCAGGCCTGACATGATTCCTCCCTGGACAGTCGTTGCCGTCCGATTCGGAATGGAGAGCGGTCCGGGGCCGCGCAGCACTGCGCAGCTCCACGAAGGAGGCCCTGGCCGAGGCGGGCGAGGCCGCGAGAGACGCCGAGTCAATGAGCCCTGGTCAGGCCCTGATGGCCTAGGCGGTGGTGGAGGCCCCGCACAGTGGGCCAGACGACCGGCGCAGGCGGCCGAAACTCAGACGCGTTTTGAGCTCCAGAGTCGCTGAATGGGACTCGAACCGAACGTGTGACCCCACCAATGGACTGCTCTCCGAACGAGGAATCCATTCGGTAGGTTCGTTCGGTTCGAGTTCCCATTTAGCGACTCTGGAGCTCAAAACGCGTCCGGGGTTTTCGCCGCCTCCACCGGTCTTCTGGCCCACTGTGCGCTATGGCATGCAGTCCGCGGTTGATAAGTCCCCGCTATTTTCGTCACCAGGTTGCGCAAGAGCCTATTCTTACCTTCGGCGAAAACTAGAACTGTCACCCGATTTTGATGTCCTTTGACAGTGACGAGGCGACAGGCCGCTCTGTCTCTCTCGCACCCCTGCGGGTCGCGTCACGAGTGCGAGAGAGACAGAGCCTCCTGGCCGTGAGCCGGGCTGCGACTCGGGGGGACGTGTGCGAGAGAGACAGTCGACAGGCCGGGACATAAATGCCCCACAGAAGGCGCCCGCCTCGCGGTGTGGGTGCCAGTGCCGCCCGCGTCAAAAATAGCAACGGAGTGAAAGGCCCCTTCCCCCCCCCCTCCCCCTCAAACCCGTTCGCAGGCCCTGCATGGGAAAACATTTCATTTAATGCACGTGTTAGCCACGGCTTCTGCGCATCATCTTTTTCGCTCTTTCTCTCTCTATCTCTCCCTCTCTCTCTCTCTCTCTCTCTCTCTCTCTCTCTCTCTCTCTCTCTCTCCCCCCTCTCTATCTCTCAAAGGTCTGTCCGTTCTCCGCATGGCAGAAAGTGTGGGATATGAAAGACAGCGACGCCCTCAGAGAGAGAGAGAGACAAGGGATGACGCATCGCCACACCGACTTCCATGACGCACGCTCAAACTTCTTCAGAGCAAAGTCGCAAGCGGCCTGTATGAAAAAGAAGAGGCCAGGCAGCCTGATTCCGAGAGTCGTTTTCGTCGTTCTGTCTCTCCCGCACCGCAAGGGACGCCGCACGAGTGCGAGAGAGACAGAGCGACGAAAACGACTCTCAGTCCGCTGGCAGGCGCAGACGATTCAGTGAAAGCGACGCTGCGTTCTCTTTATTTGAACCTTTTTCCCCCCAAAACCCCTTTTCGCCAAAATTACCCAGAACTCAAAACAAAGTTGAACAGACTCCTTCGCTGAGACTGGCCGTGAAAACCGGCGTGCCAACGAACACCTGCTTTTCCCAAGCTGGTGTAGTAGACAATTTGGGAGGCCGGGCCGAGGGGAACAAATTCAAGAAACCCGTGTACAGACTACTGGGACGGGGAAATTCCCGGAATAGGGGGGTCCCCGCCAAAGCAATAGAATGCTACCTGGCAAAATTCCAAAATTTCCCCTATTTAGGGCCCGTTTTGAAACTGGTTGTGAGGTAATGTTTTTAGCAAAAGGGGGGTAGTCCACTTTTAAGAAATGTTTCCCCGCTACTCGGTATTACGCAGTATTACGGGGGTATTACACGTGTATTACGGCCTTAAAATGCCAAACTATGGCACATTTGACCCAAAAATGGTATTACGATCGATCACGTGTATTACGCGTAATACACGGTTTTTGTGTACAGGGTATTACGCGAGTGTTTACCCCCTCGGGTTTTTCATGTCTCTGTCGCACTCTCAGGACGCGCCGTATAGCTGCGAGAGAGACAGAGCGACGAAAACGACTCTCGGAATCAGTCTGCTGTACTGTACCCGTTGGAGGAGCTCGGCGAAGAGGAAGTGGAAACTACCTCATGCCCCGCCCCGCCGATGCGGCATCGTGGCCCCGTCTCCGCGACCTTAATTCGCACAAAACTTCTCCTCTGACCAGACTTTGCATTTGGACCACTCTCGTCCGACGCGACACTGCCGCTGCCTCTGCCGCGCGCTGCCTCCAAGGCCCTCGCGGGTGTCTTGGCCCGCCGCGCTGCTCCGCGTCTCCGAAGAGAAAAAGGCCAGTGTTTCCACTGTGAAACCGCAACGCTTTCACAGTGGGCCAGGAGAGCAGCGCAGGCGGCCAAAACTCGAGACGCGTTTTGAGCTCCAGAGTCGCTGAATGGGGCTCGAACCGAACGTGTGACCCCACCAATGGATTCCTCGTTTGGAGAGCAATCCATTGGTGGGGTCACACGTTCGGTTCGAGGCCTGCTTAGCGACTCTGGAGCTCAAAACGCGTTCGGGATTTTGTCCGCCTCCACCGGTCTTCTGGCCCACTTCTACGCCCCCACAGAAAGCTGTCAACATTTTGTCTTCAGTTGGAATTGTTTTGTTATTGTTGTTTTTGCGGTGTGCGTTCGACTGCCGCCCGCGTTTGCGGCACACGTCGCATCGGACCGCCCTGACACTTCGAGGCGCCTTCCTCCGGGGCGCCTGCCTGCAGACCGATTCCGAGAGTCGTCGCTCTGTCTCTCTCGCACCTATACGGGACGCCCCGTGAGTGCGAGAGAGACAGAGCGACGAGAACGACTCTCGGAATCGGTCTGCTTGTTAGTGGCGTGGCGGACGTCACGGAGGATCGAGGGCCCGGACCTTCCCGGACTTCTCGGCCGCGACCTCGCGCGGTTCACTCTCCGGAAACTTGCCCGTAAGGACGACAGAGAGAGAGAGAGAGA